GCAACCGGGTACGCACCACCGACTTCAACTGCTTCCAAACCGTCTCATGTGGGCCTGCCCGGCCCTCATGCCCCTTCCGCGCTGGCCCCATGATGTCGCGCCTGTCCAACAATTCCTGCTCGATGCCGTGCACTATGCGATCCCAGAAGATTGCGAGCTCGTCGGCGGTAGTCGCTCTGCCCACCTCGTTGATGTAGCCCGCCCAGTCCCTATGGTAGCGCGCGCAGCCAGGCTTCGCCGTCACCGGCACCGCACTCGGCTGCCTAGCCGCGCGCACCCACAGGATCGCATCGGGCCCTTGCATCTGCACACAAACTGGCCTGTGAGGTGAAAGATTGGCAATCATACAAACCTCGGGTGCCGACGTACGAATCGCCATGTTCGCACTCACCACAAAGAAGTCGATCACCGTGCCTGGTATGCTCTGAGTGCACGTGGGAGTCGTGGCGGCTACAATTACACCGCCGAAGGAAGCCGCCCACGCCTTCATCAGCGCAGGCCGCATATTGAAATCCGCACCCAGCACCCAGTCAAATCCGAGAGCCTCCACCCTATGTATATAGCTGGCGACTTCCGTTAACAGCCGAATATTGTTGGGCCCGAGCAGCTCGTCCACCCACAGGTATGCCGATATCGCGATGAAACCGCCTTTCATCTTCGAATGAATGTGGGCTGCCACAGCTCTAGCAGGCACGAGTTCCCCCGACATCGCCAGCGGCGGACACGTGACCTGCGCGCTGGCGGGGCACAGCACCGCAACCCCCCCCCCCTCGAGATCCTCGGTTCTCGGTTGCCGCTGCTGCCGACCACGCACCATGAAACCCTGCTGCTGCAAGCCTGGCCTGGAATGAGCCCAACTTGTCGCAACGCAGATGGTGCTCCTGGCAGCAAACCACCATGGGCCATGTCCCGAGACACGGCTCCTCTGCCTCCAGCATCTCCGCCAGAGGACCATGAGAAGAAATATTCACTGTAACGATCTGCATCATCATGCCTAGGATGAGGTACACCAGACTATGCGCTGCACCGCTGCTTCTTGGCAAAGCTGGAGAGGGACTCACCCGCCCTCTTGACAGCCTCGCGCAGCTCGCCCTCGTCCTCAGGCACCTCCACGTTGACCGATTGTAGGAAGGCCCGCAGCACCTCGGGGTCCCCGTCGGCGTTGGGGATCCAGCTCAGTGAGCCTGGTGCCGCGACGCCAGGAGCGGCTGCGGGGGCGGCCGCACCACCGTGGCCTTGGCCCGCTGCCTGCTGCTGCGCCGCCGCCTCTGCCGCCCTTCGCCGCTGCTCAGCACGGTGCTCCGCCTCAGCCGCCCGCGCCTCCTCCAAGCAGCCATGTAGCCTCGTCGCAAGGTCGCCCGACCCGCCGAAGGCGGCGGCGAGCAGCTCCCCCAGCTTGTCCACCGTGATCTCCTCGGATGCGACTGGCAGCACCTGCGACAGCGAGGGCTTCTCGCCATCCTGCGGGCGCGGCACCTGGGCGACCAGCTGGCGGCGTTCCTCCTCGAGCTCCAGGAGCTCGGCGACGAGGCGGTCAAGCCCCAGCGCCGTCTCGGTGACCGCCGCCTCGGCCGCGCGCACTTTCTCCCGCAGCGTGACGAGGTGCTCCTCCTGCTTCGCCTTGCGCTTCTCCAGCTTCTGATGCTGGAAGGAGATCTCCTTGAGGCGTGTGTCGAGACTCTTGCCCGCCACGAGCCGCTTGCGCAGCTCGCCCTGGCGCGCTCGGAGCTTCTCGCGGGCCTCGACCAGCTCCGCGCACGACGCGTTCTCCAGCGCCGCGAGGTGGGAGCCCACGTCCGCCAACTCACGCTTGAGGTCCTCGCCGGGCCCCTTGCCGAGGCCGGGCTCGTCGATCTCCATGGCGTCGACCCCGCCGCTGCCTGGCGCCTGCTGCTGGCCCTTGAGTTTCGCCAGCTCGGCCCGCAACTTCTTGATTTCCGCCTCGTGACCGCCCGCGCCGCCAGCAGCACGGGCGTTTTTGCTTGGCACCTGCCCGACGACCTCCTTGGTGCCGCCGAAGGCGGTGCCCTTATGCTCCTTGCACAACTGGCACTTGTCTTGGTCCGCACGATTCCACCACCGATCACCCGTAGACTGTGACCAGCAATGCTTGCAAGACCATGGCTTTGCCCATGCAACCCTCTGCTTCTTGTGACCACTCTGGAAAGGACGAGCATCCTGTCTGGCAGGAAGCGCCATGAGCCAGCCGTGTTGAAGGACAGCTCGCGCAGGCGGGCACCTGCACGGCAAAGCGCGCCGAGGAAGTTGAGTACACGAAACACCCTGACTGGTAATGCCAGGGGAAAAGCTGTTGGGGCCGCTTGCGCCTCAGGGGCGCCCCCAGTGCCTGAAAGCTCCGTCCGCTGCTGACGCCTGGGCCACGCTACGGACTTGAGCCAAAATGGCTTGAGCCAAAATGGCTACGGAGGAAGGGGGAGAAGGGAGAGGAGGAAGGGGAAAAAGTGGAGGAGGGGGAGGACGGGGGAGGAGGAAGGGGATGGGGGGGAGAGGAGGAAGGGGGAGGAGGAGGTGGAGCCCATCCTTCGTAATCACCGCCCGCTCCCCTGCCCAGATCCTTCATCACCAGAATCCCATTCTGAATGTAACATCATCTCCTGAAAGTCATCCCGCATGTTAAGAAGGCGACGCTCAAGAGTGACCCTGGATAAGAGTGACCTTTTGTGCGCGGTTTTTGGGTGGCCGCGGGGGGACCAAACACAAGCGCGCAAGACGCCATTATCGCATCGCGCTCGGCAATCGGGGGGCCCCAATGGGTCCGCACTGAAGGTCACTCTGGCGCAAGGTCACCCTTGCGTGTAGCCGCAACCGAGTTGAGAAGGCGACGCTCACGGTCCTGGACAGCATGCCTCGAAGTGTTCCTGCAATCGCCTCGGACTTACGCTTCGCTTTTGCTCAAGGAGAGATGTGATCACCATGGGACTTGAAAACATTCTGCTCCGCTCAGGTCAATCTGACCTTGGTCTCGGGTCGGCGCGGGGCCCCCCTGGCGGCGCTCCGCGCGCCAGGGAGGGGGGCCCGGCGCCGAGCCGAGACATCCGCGCCGACCTCCGCCAGCTCATGATTCTGCCGTCGTTTTCGTTCTCCGAGCAAAATTCACGAGAGCCCAAGACGATCCGACCCGTCGCTTGCATTCAGGGATCGACCCGAACTCCGACTGTTTTCATGTCGTCTTCGCTCGACCTCTGCTGCAAAACTAAGTCGAAACGAAAACGGTCCAGGGAATCGCCAAAGCAGCGTTTAGGTCGAGCACTGCCTGCATCAGATAGAGGTGCAAAAACTGTAGAACCATAAACTGTCAGAGCTCCGCGCGGATTTCTTGGACCTGCGCTGAACTCCCCCTCCTCCCTGGCGCGCGGAGCGCGCCAAGGGGGGCGTCAGAGGCGCCGCCAGGCGGGGCCCAGCGCAGATCCAAGGAACCCGCGCGGAGCTCCGAAGCTTTACGAGTGTGCCGTTTTTTGTTCTCCTTCGATCGGAGGATCCACGTACTCTACGCACGGGGCCACGAGTGTCCCCTGCCACCCGAGGCGGACGCCGAGGCAGGAGAGGCACGACGCGGGCGAGCGAGCGCGAGGCCCCGGGCGAGGCAGCCGTGGCGCCCCGGCGCGCGGCCGCGAGGCCACGGAGAGGCGAGGGCACACGCCGTGCGGTCGACGATCAGAGGCGGGTCTTACGCGGGTCTTATGCGGATCGTCGTCGTCGTCGTCGTCGTCGTCGTCGTCGTCGTCGTCGTCGTCGTCGTCGTCGTCGTCGTCGTCGTCGTCGTCGTCGTCCCTCGTCAGCGTCGGCGGCTCACGCAGGCCGCTGGCGCTACGCGGGCAACTTGCGCACGAGTGTCGGCGCAGGCGACCCCTTTTTGTTGCCCTGCGCCCGTGTGCAGGCATGGAGGGGGTCAGAGAGGGGCGACGCGATGCGGCAGGTGCTGTGATGGGCGCGTGCGGCGAAGGCGCGGGGTGGAGGGAGCCCCACGCCATCGGCAACAACGAGGAGGTCAGCGCAGGAGTTGAGGGCAAGCAGTCGCAGAGCAGTGATGGTGCACCGATCCGCGCTGGTGCACCGATGCGCACTGGTAATGCCGGAGCCGACAGGGCGCGAGCGCCGCGGGCATCCCGACGGCGCACGCCCCGGCGCGCAGGGCTGCGGCTCCACCTCGAACGGCACGGACCCGACACGAGAGAGCCCGACCACCCCCGAGAACCACAGGACGGGGACGACCAAAAGAAAGCTCCTGTGACCGAGAAACACAAAAAAACGGCCTGAACGAGATTCCTCGGAGGTCCGCGCGGATCTCTCGGATCGGCACTGGGCCCCCTCCCTGGCGCGCGGGGGCGCCGCCGAGCCGAGAAGTCCTCGCGGAGCTCCGAAACTTTCTGTGTATACCGCTGTTTGTTCCGCGATCTGAGACGACGCCCAGGACTGGTGGAACCCTTGGGCCAGCATGGCCACAGCAGGGGCCGGGAGCAGAAGGAAAAAGAGCATAAGGGTACCCACCGGAGACCTTTGAGGATGGAGACGGTAGAGGGATCTCTCCTCTCGCCACAACGGGGGCGCTGGAGGAGGAGGAGGAGGAGGAGGGGGAGGAGGACGAGGAGGAGAAATAGTAAGAAGAAGCTGCAAGACCCCCAACAGGACCCCTAAGAGGCCCCCGAGAGGCCCCCGACAGAGCCCCCAAGAAGCACATGGGAGCCCCCTGGGCCTGAAAGAGGCCCTCAAGAAGACTCTCAACAGACGCAAAGGAAGGTGAGCACGAACCAGCAACAACTACACGCAGGCAGCACAACCAGGAAGAGGCACACAACACACAGGAAATCCAAAGGCGCACATATCCTCTTCTGGGGGTCGGCGGAACGGTGCACGCCTCTTGAAGGATGATAAGAAGAGGGAAGGGAAAGGGATGGAGGAGGACTTGGGAGGGTGGGGGAAAATAATGACTCATCTTGTGCCCCTCTGCCCTGCGGGGTCGGCGAACCAGTGGCGCCAGCCTCCTGGAAAGATCGTGGTGCCCTTGCCGATGCGGGCGGTGGAATCTGACGGGTGGCAGGCGACCACCTTTGAGGAGAGGAAGAGAAGCGGGGAGCGGTAGGAGCGAGTAGTGGAGGCGGGAGAGGCTAAGGATGAAGAAGGGGGATTTGGACTCGGGTAAGGCACGCCCACGGATGGACCAGGAGCAACTGGGCAGTGAGCACGGGTCAGGGTAGAGATTGCGACCGCACCGCTGACCGAAGGTTCCGGAAAGGTGCATCGAAAAGCTCCAGGGGAGACAAACATTGCTGAGGCACTGCAGGGCGACATCAAGCATGGAGTTCCCCATCTTCGCTTGCGCCAGGCGGGCGGCGATGCCTGAGAGGTGGGACAAGTGATGAAGAGGGCGTCAGCCTCACCTCTCACCCCATCCGTTGCATGACCTGGCTATAATGGCAGACCTGCCGTCCTCTGTGGTGTGGCCTCAGGTAGCAGCCAAAGGGCTCGTGACAGAGGGTGAAAATTCATCACGCTGTACTTCAACAGGCCTCTCTTGCCTTGAAAGGCCGCCTTCGCTCGGGTCCGCGCTTGGCCCAGAAACTGCCAGGCCGATCACTCGGCGAGCGATAGTCTAGCGCTGCACGCAGCACCCCGCGGCCCTCCAGAGCTGGCGCAGCACTTCCTGCATAACGGCGGCCCCTGATTGAGAAGGCTTCGTGTCTCCCGTGTGGGGAGGTTTCGCGCCGGGTGCTCAAGGATGCGGAACGTCCCAAGGCAAAGTCCACCCGTGCCTCTGGCGGCCCCCAATCAGCAATCGGTTGCAGGCCCCAGCGGGCCTGCGTTCTGCAGGGGGGACGCATACTTTCGTACTCGATTACGAGACCTATGTTGCTTCACATCACCAATTTGGCCCCTGTTGACTTTTTCCGAAATGATATATTGGGATGAAACGCTGCCGCTGGATATATCGAGCACAGTTGATCACAACACAAACGCTCCTGCGAGGCCCCGCCAAAATGGCAAGAAATGGTAAGCTCAGATCCGCATGGCTACATTGCAACCGAACCGCTTGACCGCTATCTCGACCGAACTGGCGGAATTCGACCACGCGTCCGACAAAATGCGTTCGACGGGGGATGCGCTGCACAATGCCCCCGCCACGGGCAGCGCTACGAGGGAAAGCGGGCCCTTCGAGGTCTCACTTTCAGCGCCCGTGAAAGTGACACCTCCCAGGGCCCACTTAAAGATCACCAGAAAGGCTCCGAGAAGGCCCCGAGAAGGCCCCAGGGCGGCACCAAGAGGGCTCCCAGAGGGACCCAAGAGAGGCCCCAAGAGGGGCCCAAGAGGGCCCTCCGCGGTGTCACTTTCAACGCCCGTGAAAATGACACCTCCCAGGGCCCACTTAGGGCCTCAGAAAAGCTCTAAGAAGGCCCCGAAAGGGCCACAGAGAGCCGCCCTGGGTTCAACTCCGCGTGGCGGAGTTGGAAGCGATAACTTCAATACCCTACTGGAGGCCTCTTAGGGGCCCTAAGACGGCACTGAAGAACCCCATCGGGGCTTTTTCAAAGGCAGAGGAGGGCGCAAAAAGGGGCCTCAGTGAGCCCCTGGTCTAACTCCACCTGGCGGAATTGGAAGCGATATCGCCCGGCGCCTTCATGGAGCCGCTCGGAGCTTCCAAGACGGCTCCAGAAGGCCCCAGGAGGGCCCCAAGAGGATCGAACGACGATTCCTGGAAGTGCACCAGTGAGACCCTTGTTGACCTCCGCCTGGCGGAGTTGGAAGCGACAATTTCCAGTGCCCTCTTGGGGCCTCTGGGGGGCCCCTCAGAAAGCTTTGGGGAGCACAGTGAAGGCCTTCGCAGGGCCGCGTGAGAGCCGTACCAGGGCCGCATGTGTGCGCGGATGGGGGCGACGAGTGCTGACGCTGACGAATATGAGAATGATGAGGGCGATCAAGGCTGGCCCGAAACAAATCCTGGCGTCATTGCAGGCCGCCGATTATCGGCCACGCCGCCAGGACGAAACCAAACAACAAAACGACACCAACCAACAAAACGACACCAACCAACAAACCAACAAATCGACACCGACCAACAAAAGGACACCAAGTAACAAAACGACACCCAGCAACAACACGACACCAACCAACGAAACGACACCAACCAACAAAACGGCACGAAACAACAAAACGGCACTGACCAACCTAACGACAAATCACTTCACGACACCAATGAACAACGCGAAATCCACCGACCGCCAAGCAACATAAAATCAACCGACACAACGAAACCAACCCATAGAGCCGGACCAACCACTGGATTCGTGAGTCGGGGTAGTCATGGAAGTGAGCCGCTGCAGCCCGCGGAAGCCATTAACAGTGACCAGAGCACCGCAATGCAGCAGCGTCCCCGGGCGGCGGCGGGAGTCTCGGATCTCCCGCGGGACTGGAGCGTAGCGAGTTCGTCCTGGGTCCGGTTTAGTGAAGTGAAGAATTTCGGGGTGCTTGGCATGGCAAAAAACCTTCACTTCACTAATCTGGGGCCCCTGGAGCCCCAGGGCGTTTCAGGTCCCCTCGCTGTCTGGGTAGTCCAGGGGGCGCAGTGGCGGCTTACCAGAGGCCCTGTTCCCTAGCCTCACTTGCTTTCACCCGTGGTGCTCGACGGCCGTCTCGGAGCTGTCTTGTGGCGGTCTGGGGCAATCCCGAAGCCTCTTGGAGCCATCCCAAGGCCCCAAGGCGCCACCAAGGGGGCCCCAAGAGAGCTCCCAGAGGGCCCCGAACGGCCTACAACAGATTGCAGGTTCGCGCGAATCCTTTGTACCACTTTGGGGGGTCCCTCTTGGGGCCCTCGGGGAACGTTCTTGGGGCCCTCCGGGGGCCCACTGGGGCCCCGGGAAGGCCCCAAGAACGCTCCCAGAGGGCCCCAAGAATGCTCCAAGAGGGCCCCAAGAGGACCCCCACAAGTGACAAAAACGATTTGCATGAGGGTGCAACGTATTCGGCGCCTCTTGAGGCGCTCTTGGAGCCGTGCTGGGCGCCACTCGTGGACGACATGGGCTGGGCGACGGCATGTGGACCCTGTCGCTTGGGCCATCGGGGGTGCTCCCCAATGGGGCCACGAAGCGTGTGAGCGTATGACGGAATGGGCTGGGCGGCGGCCTGTGGGCCCTGCCTGTGGGGCCGTCGGTGCAGCTCCCCGTGGGGCCACGAAACGTGTGAAACGTATGCCGAAATATGCTGGGCGGCGGCCTGGGAAACCTGCCGCTGGGACCTTTGTTTGGTGGAGCTGCCTATGGGGGCACGAAATGTTTGAGGGTGTGTCAATGTGGCCTGGGCGACGGCATGTGGACCTCGCCGCCGGGACCTCCGATGAGCTCCTCATGGGGACACGAAGCGTCTGAGGGGCGTGCCGACATGGGCTGGGCGGCGCACTAAGGACCCTGCCGATGGGGCCTTCGGTGGAGCACCTCACAAGGCCACGAGACTTGCGGGGGATGTGGCGAAGCAGAGACGCGGGGGAACAAGGGGGGGGGGGTGATCATGTTGATGAGGATGGTGGTGGTGTTGATGATGGGGACGACGAAAATGCTGATGATGCTGATGATGATGATGGTGATGGCGACGACGACGATGGACGATGACGACGGGGACACGCGGAGAGCAGGGGCAGATACGCGAAGAGGGAGGACGAGGGAAGAGGCCGGAAGGAATGACGCGGGGCGGTGTCTCTTCAAGACGAAGAACCAACACTGCAATATGGTAGGACATTTCTGGACGCCCCCCCCCCCCGTGGCGCGGTCAATGTCCGCGACAGCATCGCTGGCACTACAAACGAAATGTTCGAACTCTTCCTGCGACGTTACCCGCGGGGTGGATATGCCAGGGATGGGGGTCGAAACCACCCCAGCGCAAAGCAAATGTACAATCCTGAGAAGCCCCAACCCACATCAACCGATCCGCAACAAGCACGCACGCCTTTGACGACCCCAACGCACGTGACATCGCATAACGCGACGCGCCATCGAAAGTTCGACGCGCGGCCTCGGAATGACATCGGGCTTCATGGAACGTCGAATGGAAAACATGAAAAACCGCCCTGTGGGCTCCGAGACCCAACATTCGTGATGTGAAGGATTTCGGGTCTCGGATCGATGGGTCCTACCCTGGGATCCCATGTATGCAACTATTAAATTCCTATTCATATATTGATGACATAGGGCCGGGGACGCCGGAAAAAGCACACACACACCACCTAACGAATTTGGCCCACTCCAGGCCTTTTGGGAAACCCGCCAGACGACCTGGGAGGACCTCACGAAAGCCCGAAGACGGCCCCAAAGGGCCCCCGACGTTCCAGCGCGCTCCCGAAACGACCCGAGAGAGCCCCGGTCGACGACGACCAAGGAGCCGTCATACCCCCAGAGATCGCTCCAAAACGTCCCAAGGGGCCTCCAAGAGGACTCCCAAGCCCCAAGAGGCAAAATTCATTGATTTCCAGTTGGATTGTAGGGCTTTTGAATTCTCCCCTTTTCGGCTTCCCGACGCTCCAGGACGGCCCACAAGGCCCCCAAGATCGCAATAAGACGGCCCGACAGATTTTGGAGCACTCGGGGAGGGCGCCGCGGTGTCAACAATGTGCTGCACTTGGGCCCCTCGGCCCGCTGCCTCACACGTGTTTGCCCACGGCACTCTCGAAATGAAGCAGTCCCTGGTCTTGCTGCCTAGAAGGGCAAGGCTAAGGGCAACTTTTGGGCGTAGGGTCCCTTGCGTTGTGCTGTATGCCTCCCACTGCCTCCCTCGCGTAGAATCCACGGGTTGGTTGCTTCCTTTGCGTCTTGCCGTATCCCTCCTACTGCGGGTGGAGTCGATCCGAGTCTGAACGGTGCGAGAGGAGGAAGGAGGGAAGAGGAGCAGGAGGGAGGGCGGGAGGAAGGGAAGGAGGGAGGATAATGGCAGGAGGGAGGAGGGAGAGGACGGGGGTTGGGGGGGAGGAGGAGGAGGAGGTGGAGGAGGAGGAGGAAGACGAGGAGGAGAAGGGGATAAGAGCAGGAGGAAGAGGGCGAGGAGGAGGAGGACGACGAAGAGGAGAACGAAAAGGAAGACGGCAAAGGAGAAGTGGGGAAAGAGAACGAATGAAACAGTAAGAATAACGAAAAGGAACATTGAGCTAGCGATTGTAAGAGGGAGTTCCTCGTCTCCTCGTCCTTTTCTCCGTCCTCCTCCTCCTCCTCCTCGTCAGCTTCCTTGTCCTTCTCGCCCTCCTCATCGCCCTCCTCCTCCTCCTCCTCCTCCTCCTCCTCATCATCATCATCATCATCATCATCATCATCATCATCATCATCATCATCATCATCATCAGCATCATCATCATCATCATCAGCATCATCAGCATCATCATCATCATCATCATCATCAGCATCATCATCATCATCATCAGCATCATCATCATCATCATCGTCATCGTCATCGTCATCGTCATCGTCATCATCATCATCATCAGCAGCAGCAGAATCAGCATCAGCATCATCATAATCAGAATCAGCATCAGCATCAGCATCAGCATCAGCATCAGCATCAGCATCATCATCATCATCATCACCATCATCAGTATCATCATCGTCATCATCATCAGCAGCATCATCATCATCGTCATCATCATCTCATCCTCATCCTCATCATCATCATCAGTTTCTTCGTCTTCATCATCATCCTCATCATCCCATCATCATCACCACCACCATCATCATCAACAACATCATCATCATCAGAACCATCATCATCATCATCATCACCATCATCCGCACCATTATCATCATCATTAGCATCACCATCATCATTAGCATCAGCATTATCATGATTCGCATCATCACCATTATCAGAATCATCATCACAATCATCATCATCATCACCAGCATCAGCATCAGCATCATCATACGCAGCATCATGATCATCACCACCACCACCATCACCACAACCACCACCACCATCATCATCATCATCACCATCATCATCATCATCATCAGCATCATCATCATCATCAGCATCAGCATCATCATCATCAGCAGCAGCAGCCGCATCATCATCATCATCATCATCCTCATCCTCATCCTCATCCTCATCCTCATCCTCATCCTCATCCTCATTCATCATCATCATCATCATCATCATCATCATCATCATCATCATCATCATCATCATCATCATCATCATCATCATCATCATCATCCGCTTCCCCCTCCTCATCCTCCTCGTCATCCTCCTCGTCCTCCTCTTCGTCCTCCTCCTCCTCCGCCTCCTCCTCCGCCTCCGCCTCCTCTAATGTCCTTTCCTCTCCTCCTCCCCTTCCTCCCTCTCCTTCCACCGTCCTCCTCCTCGTCGTCCTCCTCCTCGTCGGACTCCTGGTCCCCCCGCGACCACCTTGAACTGGACGCCCTGCCACGTGAAGAGGTCACCGGTCGAGAACTTTTTCCAGCCGTGTCTCCTCAGGTAGGGCCTCAAGTAGTCTTGGAAGACGTCGAAATCGTAGGCCCGTGGGAGAGTGTCCTCAATCGGGTCGAAACTCAGAGGAGGAAAAGGTACCCATACCTTTACCCTGCCCCCGTTTTCCCCTTTTCGGGCCTCCTGGGCGGTTCTCGTCGCCACCGCGGGATTCGCCTCGAAATTCTGGTCAGAACGCACCCCAAGAGAGGTCCAGGGAGTAGCGATATCGGTACCTTTTGGTCTCCCCAGAAACACGTAATCCAATGGCCTCGCGTCATAACAACGATCACGACGAAAGGCTTTTGGACATCTTCGCCCCCTGGGGCACGTGACAGACCGGTCGAGACGCTGGGGGATCCACGCTGCCGAAAGCACACGACGTCGGGGGTATGCGGTGGTCCAAGGCACTGTAGCAAAGGAGTGTTTGCGAACCAGCTGCTTAAACAGCGTTTACACTTAGATTGGCCCTGTCTGAACACCCGCAAAACACTCAAACCTAAACCTGTAGGGAGGAGAAATGAGGAAGGGTAAGGCGATGAAGGCTCTATTGGAATGGGTGCCAGTTGGCGGCCCCCGAGGGGGGCTTTCGTTCGAGCGGGAGCCCCCGTCCGACAGCACACACCCATGGCCTCCCCAGAATTCCACCCCGAAAAACCTAGGGGTCGCATAGGTATGGAGCTCATGAAAATGTGTGTTTCCACAACCATCCATCCCTCCCTCGCGCGGAGGGAGGGAGGGAGCCATGGTTGGGGGAGGGAGGAGGAGGGGGAGGGGGAGGAGGAGGAGGAGGAGGAGGAGGAGGAGGAGAGGAGGAGGAGGAGGAGGAGGTGGAGGAGGAGGGAGGAGGAGGAGGAGGTGGGAGGGAGGGGGACGAAGGAGACGGAGGAGGAGGAGGAGGAGGAGAGGAGAAGGAGGAGGAGGAGGAGGAGGAGGGGGCGGGGGAGGGAGGGAGGAGGAGGAGGAGGAGGAGAGGAGGAGGACGAGGAGGAGGGGAGGGAGGGAGGGGGGGGAGGGAGGGGAGGAGGGAGGGAGGAGTGCTGCATGCGGAACGAGGGGACGCTTCTGGCCACGGCGAGCGCCCCAGCCACGTCCAGAGCACCTCCCGAACCCAAAGCGTCCCGTCCTTCCACGTCTGGGCTCGAAGGTGTGTGCCGCTGCCGCGGACGCCCGAAATGGGTACGAAGAAAATGGGCACGACGCCCAACAACAAATGTTACCCACAACCGACTGCGGCCGCTGTTGGGCAGGCAGCAGCTGTCCCGAACCCCCGCCTCGCTGCCACGGATCCTGCCGACGGGGGTGGCCGCCCCAGCACACTGAGGTTAGAAGTCTTCCGCCTCTGCGTGGCCTTTCCTTCCCCCCCCCTCCGCGGCCTCCTCGCCTGTCCTCTCCCCGCTCTTGCACGCTGGCCAAGTCGCTTCTCGGTGCCCCCGTGCAGCTCTATAGCGCTGGTGCAGCCAACTCTGCCTCGCCGCCGGCGGCAAAAGTGTGTGCCGCTGCCTGTCCGCCGAGCGTGGCTGCCGCACCCCGCCGGTCCTGAAACGGGACGATGTGCACCTTCTCGAGCTCGGGCGTCCGGTCCCAGTTCGCGAAGATCTCCGTCTGGCTCGACACGACCCCGAGGCCTGGGGTTAAGTCGGGCCTGTCCCCCTTACAGGGGGATTTTCGACGAAAAATCAAAAAATACTCAAAAATGCTCCAAGATGGTCAAAAGATACTCAAAAAATAGTCCCCGCAGACTATTTTTTGACTATGTTTGAATATTCCTCCTGTAGAGGGACAGGCCCGACTTGAGCCTGGGGGCTCCGTGGCGTCCACCTGGAAGCAGGTGTCGCCGATCTGGAACGTCTGATGGCAGTCCGCCGCCGTGCACCCCTTGGCACGCTGAGGCGCGTCCCGCCGCCTCGCAGGGTGGGGCCCTCCTCCTCCTCCTCCTCCTCCTCATCCTCCTCCCCCTCCTCCTCCTCCTCCTCCTCCTCGTCGGCGCCGTCGTCACGGTGGTGCGTGTTGCTCTGCTCGGGACGCTCAGGCATGGCTTGTCGCCTGGCGCTGTCTGGCAGCGTCTCCGTGAATCTTCCAAGAGGGCGCCCACTCTGAGGGGTCGTGCCGCCGCAAAGATAGGCGGCGAGCGAGGGGGGGAGTGAGAAGGGGCGGGCCTTCTCAGGAGGCTCGGAAGTCCCTGGGCATTCTGAGAAGTGCCCTAAGCCTTCCCCGAAGACACAGAACACTTCTCACAAGGCGCAACGGCTTCTGGGAAGTCTCGCCGCCTTCTGAGGAGGCCTTCTCCTTCTCACTTCCCCCTCCCTCTAACAGGACATATGTCGACCCCTATCCCAGACATCGTGGGGTTTTCGAATGGAGCAGCAATTTGAGCCCCAACCCTGGGATATACGATTGGGGGGGCGCTCATCCTCGATGGAGGTGCGTCCGAGTAGCCCCCTTGGGATGCATCCCAGGGTGTCCCTCTGTTTCTGAGCGGCCAAATGCGCCACCAGCAAATGACCATATCCACTGCTGCTGGGTCGTGTTCCGAGGACTCGGGGAGCGGCGGATATGGATATCTGCCCGCCGGCGCGGGCGGGATGATATCCACATCCACCGCTCCCCGAGATCCCAGGGCAGGACTCCGAAGCGGTGGATGTGGACATCTTCTGGCGGTGGACCAAACCTTCCCGGCGAAGCTCCGGGATAGGGGGAGGAAGGTCACCTGCGACCCCCCCCGCTCGCCGCCGAAAACAGCGCCAGACAAGGAGCGGAAGGGCCGTGCTGGCCACGGCGAGCGCCGGCCGCGAGCGGGCTCCCCGACCTTGCACGCCCGTCGGAAGAAGCAGACTGGGCTCGAGCCGCCTCCCAGAGAATAGCACAGCACAGCAGAAGCATGTGAACAGGAGATATGACGACCCCTATCCCAGGCATCGTGGAGTTTTCGAATGGACCAAGCAGTTGGGGCCCGACCCTGGGATATACGAGGAGGGGCGTCCATCCTCGACAGGGGGTGCGTCCGAGTAGCCCCCATGGGGGTGTATCCCATGGTTCCCCTAGTTTTCTTAGCCGCTTAATTTTTCGTCGAAGAGTCGGGGGTTGGGATAGAGGCATCGCCTGCGACATATCGTCTCTCGGAAGTAGGAAGGTGCTCGAAGTAGTTTGGGATCTGGGAGTCTAAAAATACCTATTGTCAACGACCGGAGTGTGTAATCGAAGGAACGGCCCAAGAGCCAGAGGCCCTCCTGAGCCCGGGGCGACCATCTCAGCGTCGCGACTGAATGGCGACCCCAATCCCCGATGTGGTGGGACTTTCGACTGGACAGACATTAGGGCCCTACTGGGGGATGCAAGATGGAGGGCGCCCATCTTCGATACAGGTGCGTCCGAGTACAGTCAACCCGTATCATAAGGACACGCGGTAAGCATGCAAGGGCCTTGGAGGCCCATGTGAACGGTTTTCTAACGAGGCTGGCCAGCGAAAGTCGCCGAGGATGGGCCGAGGGGGCAAGGGTGCAAGGGTAAGCTTGGGAAGGTTGCTCACTCATCCTTACTATGCGGGTTGACTGTAGCCCCCTCGGGAGTGTATCCCCGAGTTCCCCCTCTTGTCTGAGCGGCTTGACTTTCAGGGGAAGCTCGGAATCGAGGGCGAGAAGTCGCCTGCGACCCTCGGTGGTCCAAGATGGGCCGAGGCGGCCCAAGATGACCCCAGGAGGGCCCAAGGGCTCGACGGCACCACAGGAGGAGCCCAAGACAACCCCGAGGTGGAGAAGAGAGCGCGATCGGCCGTCGCTTGACTAGAAAAAATCCCCCCCACCTCTGGGAAACCTGGGGGGGGGATAAAAATCCTCCCCCACTTCCCGGGGAACCCGAGGGGGGGAGGGGGTGGGCTCGAACCCGCTCTAATCGAATAGGGCTGGATCAAGCTCGAATCAAGTTCCTGACAATGCTCGATCAAGCTCTGATGGAATCCTACAGGCGCTAGATCCATCTGAAACATAATCCTACTAGGGCTGGATCCAGCTCTAATGGAATCCTACAAAGGCTCGATCCAACTCTAATCGAACCCTGCTGCTAGTGCTGGATCTGGCTCTGTTAGAATCCGACTACTACTCGTACTACAACCATACTATGGGCTGGATACAGCTCTGATAGGACCGTGCTAGTGCTCGATTCAACTCTCATAGCATCTTACTATGGTATGGATGCAGCTCGGATTAAACCATATTAGGGCTCGATCCAGCCTTCATGCAACCCCACTGAGGTCCGATCCAGCTTCGATTGAATCCTACAAGGCAAGGTCCAGCTCTGATAGAATCCTACTTGGGCTATGGAATCCCCCTCCCTCGGTCTGAACTGGGGGCGGGGGCTCTCAGCCCCGCCACCCCCCACCCCCAACCCCACCCGTTCGAACCAGGGGGGCCCGCCCCCCCGACCCCTGGTTCTGGAGCGGGAGGCTGTTTTACCCCCATCCCCCAGTTCGAACGTGCGCGTGTAGGTATGGAAGTCGGTTTGCTGCAGGTGCGTAGCACGTTTTTCCTCCCGTGTCCTGTGCAGGACCGGCTCTGGAGCCGCGCGGGATCTGTCTGTCTGTATGTCCCCCGTTTCCAGCCGAGGGGGCCGTGGGGGGAGGGGCATGCCAGTAGAGTGAGGTCGAGCATGTCCTCCTGCAGGGGGATCTTGGACGAAAGAAAACTCAAGCTTAGTCAGAACAGATGGGGAACTCGTCCCCTGATTATTTTTGTAGGCCCGACATAACAGTTGCGACAGAAAGCGCTCGTCAGGAAACCCCAGAATCGAATCGATAAGTCGGATCGGCGATCGAAATGGATCGGATCGGCGGAAATCGGTAGCCGAGTCGGGAAAAGTTGAATCGGCGGAAATCGGGAGGCCAGTATGCCTCCAACGAGAAATCGGAGCCCAAATCGGAATCCCAGATCGAACCGAATCGGCATCGGAAGCCATCGAAGTCGAAGCGGATCGGATCGGAGGAATCGAAACGAGCCCTGGCTCGTTCACGAGTGCAGGCGGCAGATCTCGGGCCGGGCGAAAAGGGGGGATATCAAAGGGGGAGGTTTGAGAATCAGCTCACGTAGCTGATCTTCCCGGCGCCTCCCGGCGCCAGAGGCGGCTATGTATCGAGGAATGGGCCCCTCGGTGGGGCCGAAACCAGCTACATGCAGCAGATGTCGTAACCGACCCTTTCCCAATCACCCCTTTTCGTCTGGCCCGAAGATCCTTCGGGGCGGTCGGTGCCCGCAGCGCCGCCGCGCAGCTTGCTGCGCGTGGCAGGGTGGCGGGAAGCGTGCCGCAGGCAGCCAGGGCTAGAAGAGGCGCACGCGCTCCGAGCCCGGGGTCCCGTAGGGCGCATAGTCGCCCTTGAGGTACTCCACGATGAACTCGGAGAACAGCCTCGTATCCTCCTCCTCCTCCTCCTCCTCCTCCTCCTCCTCCTCCTCCTCCTCCTCCTCCTCCTCCTCCTCGATGGGCCACCCCGAGGGAGCCCCACCCCCACAGGTCAGAGCTCTGAAAAACCGCTGGGAGATGGGACTCTGAAACAGTGCCTGGAGCCAAGTGAGCCGCGGCGGGGCGTGCGTCGGCGGTATCCGCACGGGTAGGGTTCGCAGGTGGTCGCGGAGAGGAGGAGGAGGAGGAGGAGGAGGAGGAGGAGGACGTGGGAGGAGGGAGATGCGAGGGGAGGAAGGACGAGTATAAGCAGGAAGTGATCGATGAGCAGCAGGAGGAGCAGGAGGAGGAAGCAGGGCAAGAGAGGCGGGAGGAGGAGGAGGAGGAGGAGGAGGAGGAAGCAGGGCAACATAGGTGGCAGGAGGATAGCAGAATTGCCTCTCGGACGTCATCTCTTCGTCGGAGCCCCAGGCGGTAAACTGGATCTTCGAGAACGACACCACGGGGTCCCCGTCCACGAAATAATCCGTGCCGGGGTGAAGCAGCCCCTGGTCAGGCTCGCACTTTATGACAACGAACTCGCAGCCCTCGTGCCTGACGACGTCCCCTCTCCGGACGACCTCCCCGGCGCCGCGCTTCCGGCGCAGCTCTGGCGCGATGCACTCGATCCTGCTCCTGCCCCCGAGACTGGTGCAGGCCCCGACAAAGGGCAGAATGTGCAGCCTCGGGAGGACGCAAACCATGCTTAAGTCGGGCCTGTCCCCCTACAGGGCGATTTTCGACGGAAAATAAAGAATACCCCAAAAATATTCAAAAACTTGTCCAAAAATAGTCTGGGGACTATGTTTTGATTATTTGTTTGACCTTTTGGGGGCATTCTTGGGGAATTTTTAATTTTTCGTCGAAAATCCCCCTGTATGGGGACACGCCCGACATAAAACCATGCACAGACACCAGTGGCCGATTCCATAAATCCTGAATCCCCAAAAAAGTTGGCATGCCTTAGTGCTTAGTGGGGGGCTGGGCATCTTCCACTTCTGCCAGCCTCCACCAACCTCTTGCTGGCAGAGCCGCTGGGGGATCTACTGACCCGGCTCAATCCAAACCCGGGTCAGCCAAGCTTGGCAGGATCCAGTGCGCCCCTGGCCCTGCGAGGATAGATCAAGAGTCTCTGAGATCTGGCGGCTCTGGAGGATGCGTCGCCTTCTCAGAGCGTTCCGGGACGCTCCGCGAGCGTCCCGGAACACTCTGGAACGGATTTCTCCTCGTCCTAGCCCCGTCTGGCCAGTCCTGGGCCCAGGATCAGCCTGGTCCCAGACCCAGACATGCGACGTCCTGATTGTTTCAGGACGGCGTCCCTGGAAGTCCCGACCCTTTCCCCAGGACCGCTTTTTCGTCCCGAGTCGTTTCTTGACGGTCCTGAGGCCCGGCGAAGGCCTCTAGGGTCCAAAATAACGGAAAGCCCTCCCGTCTTGATTCCTTTATGACGCCATCATGTCTGGGAGCTGCCGATGCCGCGGTCTGTCTCACAGCGTGGGCCCCCCGGTGTTCTCAGCCCCTGCCCCAGGGGGCCGGGGGCCGCCTCCCGAGGAGCTCCCGGAAGGCCACGGGGCCCCGTGCGGGCCCCCAGGGGGGCCGAGGCTTGCTGGAGACCTCCCGTCCTCATCTCTTGCGACGCGATGGGGGGGGTCTGTCGGCGGCGAGCGAGGGGGGGAAGTGAGATTTGGACGCTCGAAATGGGTACGGAAAGAATGGGTACAATGCCCAACAACAAATGTTGTCCCAAACCAACAGCGGCCGCTGTTGGGCAGGCGGCCTTCTGTCTCAAATGGGCACAATCCGCGGCGACGCCGCCAGCGAATCCGGTTCAAAATGAACAAGAACTGCTGTCGGTCTTTGTACCCATTCTTTCCGTACCCATGTCGGTCGTCCCGATGAGAGGGGGCGGGCCTTCTCAGAAGACTCGGGGGACCTGCGCACGGCCTCCTGCGCAGTTGCCTGGGCCTTCCCGGGAGGCAGGGGCTTCTGAGAAGCCTCCAGCCGCCCTCTGAGGAGGCCCCCTCCCTCTCACTTCCCCCCTCGCTGGCCGCCGAGTCCGTTCCTGGGGGTCGAAAGGTGACCCCCAGACATGCTCCAGGGGGCATGCTGACCAGAACTTCGAGGCGGAGGCAGCCGGGGCGACGAGAGGCCCCCCCGCCAGGAGGCCCAGGAACGGGCGAAGTGTGCCCCAAACACCTCCAGCCCCCAAGTTCGAGCCTCGACGTGGCTTAGGCCTCGCGCTTCGGGGGCGCGCAAACATGGATTAGCGATCCATGGATTTGGCGCGCGGTCGCCAAATCCATGGATAGAGGTGCTCGCCCCAAAATGCGGCTGGTGCCGCCTCGCTCGGCGGCGGAAATCCGCGATGCCCCACGGAAACGGGGCCCGTCGCTGACCCACGCCACCTTGATCCATGCTTGCGATCGGATCGCTAGCGTCCGCAGAGCCCCAGGCCACCCTCCGACACGGATCTTTTCTCAGGCGCTGTGCCTGCAAAATCGGGCGGCGCCGTCGCCATCGTCGGGCTCTGGCCTGCTGCAGCCAGAGCTGCGGAGAGGAGAGGGTGCGAGCACGTGCAAGGTCTCCGCGCCCCGCGCCCCTCGCGACGCGCGACTCCCTGGAAGACAGGCGCCCTCGCGCCACCCCCCCCCTCGAAGAAGAAGAAGAAGAAGAGGGCAGCCACGGCAGGCCCGGGGCGCGACGCGCGCAGTCCGATGATCTCTCCCCGCGCCCCCGCGGGTGCGCGAGGGGGAGCAACGGGAAGGAACTTCGGCGGCCTCCTCCTCCTCCTCCTCCTCCTCCTCCTCCTCCCTCCTCCTCCTCCTCCTCCGCCTCCTGCTCCTCCTCCTCCTCTCCTCCCCTCCTCCTCCTCCTCCTCCTCCGCTCCTCCTCCTCCTCCTCCTCCTCCTCCCAGCCCAGGGGGGGGGGGGGGGAAAGTGCGAAGGAGCGGGCCTGCTCAGGAGGCCCGGAGGTCCCCCGGCCTTCGGAGAAGTGTTCCTAGCTTTCCCCGGAGAGGCAGAAAACTTCTCATGAGGCCAGAGGGCTTCTGACAAGCCCCGCCGCCTTCTGAGAAGGCCCTCTCTTTCTCACCCCCCCTCGCTCACCGCGAGCTTGAATCGGCGATACACCGCCGATAGATCGGTGATAGGCCCTCGATAGCAAAACCGCACGTTCCTGGGCGGAGTAGGGGAACGGGCCCCGATCGGCGACCAATGGGCGACTGGTGTCGATGCATACCCCCTTGAGCTCATCCCCGAATGGCTTTCGGGCCACAACTCGCGCCTCTGGTGGACATTTGGGACGATCCGAGCACCCCCAGACACCTCTCGGCGAGGCGCGGCCGCTGGAAGGCATCCCGAAGCTGAAAAACCTCCGAGAACGGTCGAAAACGCCCGAAAACCTCAAGATTCGCGAAGGTCGACGACGACGACGACGACGACGACGACGACGACGACGACGACGACGGCGGCGGCGGCGGCGGCGGCGGCGACGGCGGCGGCAAGCCTCTCCAAGGACTGCTCCTGGGCGACCGCGGTCACCTCCAGCGCCGCCGCCGCTGGCTCCTGCGCGGCTGGCCGCGAGGCCCTCGGCACCCCCGCGGCCGCGTCACCGTC